CAAACAAACAAAAACCCTGAAATATTATAATGTATCTTTTATGACAGTGGAACTTATCACAGTCAGAAGTCTTCCTAGAAACCCTTGAAAGAAAAGATACATACCTGAACAGTAATTGTATCGTCTGTCTAAAAGGTCACATTATTTGTATGACCTATAAGTCTACCTTCCATAACTGATGATTCAATTACACTTGCGTAAAATATAAAATTCAGGCTAGAGATATGGTTCAGCTGGTAGTATTAGTCTTGTGCACACAGGCCCAAGTTCAATCAGGAACTGCAGTACAACTGGCATGATGGTGCGTGCCTATAATCCCAGCAATTGTCAGGTAGAGAGGGAATTCAATAAGTTCAATGAGACTCAGCTAATAAATTTGAAGCCAGCCGGGTGGTGGTGGCGCACACCTTTAATCTCAGCACTTGGGAGGCAGAGGCAGGCGGATCTCTGTGAGTTCGAGACCAGCCTGGTCTACAAGAGCTAGTTCCAGGACAGGCTCCAAAACCACAGAGAAACCCTGTCTCGAAAAACAATTAATTAATTAATTAATTAATTAATTTGAAGCCAGCCTGGGCAATGTGATCAGCCCCTATCTTTAAAATAAACAAATAAATACAGATGAATAATAAGTAGATAAAACCACTAGTGGAAAAGATGATATTGAATACAGGTTCAGGAGTAATGTCAGGCACAAGATGGTTCAGCAGGTAAAGCCTGATTACCCAAGTTCAATACCAAAAGTCCTTAGAAAGGTGGAAGGAGATAACTGACTCTATAAAATTCTATAAAGTAGCAATCTGATCTTTCTTCCATATATATGCACTGTGTCATGCCCACATACGCGCTCCCCACCACACCAATATGTAACTAAAAAGCCAATCTAGGAGTTAGAGAGATGGCTTGGTAGTTAAGAACATATAATTCTTGCAAATTTAGCTCCTAGCACCCAATGTGAGGCAGCTCAGAACTGCCTCTAATCTAAGGCCACCTTTCACAGGATCTGATGTCCTCTTCTGGCTCCCACAGGCACTGCACTCACAAACATGAACCTCTCACAAATAATTCATATAGACATTTTTAAAAAATAAAAATTGGGGGACAGAGGGATGGCTCAGAGGTTAAGAGCCCTGGCTGCTCTTCCAGTGGTCCTGAGTTCAATTTCCAGCAACCACATGGTGGCTCACAACCATCTGTGGTGAGATCTGGTGCCCTCTTCTGGCATGCAGGCAGAATACTATATACATAATAAATCTCTTTAACAAAAAAAATTGTGCTAGGCAGTGGCACACACCTTTAATCCCAGTTTGAGTTTGAGGCCAGCCTGGTCTCATTATTTAAATGAAATAATTATGGCATAGACAGTTCTGTAACTTGGTTAATACACGCTACATCATAGGGCTTGAATATAGATTGGCTTTTCCAATTTCTATATATTTGTTTTTTTGTTTTTTTTTTTTGTTTTTTTTTTTTTTGAGACAGGCTTTCTCTGTGTAGCTTTGGAGCCTGTCCTGGCCTCTGTAGACCAGGCTGGCCTCGAATTCAAAGATCCACCAGTCTCTGCCTCCCAAGTGTTGGGACTAAAGGCGTGCACCACCACTGCCTGGCTTCTTCTTCTTTCTTTAGACAGGGTCTCAAACTCACAATCTTCCTACCTCTGCCTCCCAATGGTAGACATATAAAGTTTCACTATTATGCTCAAATCCTTAAACCCTTCAAAGGAGGCTGCATTTACTCACAGAGCATCTTACTATGTTTCATTCCCTCTTCAATGGCTTTAAACCAAAGGACATTACTGACAGTAGATCAATGTTTTTTTCTTTTATTAAAACATCTAGAGATAAATATACTATTCTCATTTTATTAGTACTATGGTAGTAATAATAGTAACTAGAGTCAAATCCAGGGCCCATCACATATTAGGGAAGTACTCTACCACTGAGTTTATTATATCCCCAGCCCTTAGTTTTCTGGGGGATATTGGTTTTTTTTTGGGGGGGGGGGGAGGTTCAAGACAGAGTTTCTCTGTGTTCTGCAGACCAGGCTGGCCTCAAACTTAAGATTAATCTGCCTTTGCCCTTAAGTATTTTTTTAATAAGATTTTATTTATTACGTATACAGTGTTCTCCCTGCATGTTTGCCTGCAGGCCAGAAGAGGACAAGAGATCTCATTACAGATGGTTGTGAGCCACCATGTAGTTGCTGGGAATTGAACTCAGGACCTCTGGAAGAACAGCCAGTGCTTTTAACCTCTGAGCCATCTCTCCAGCCCACCCTTAAGTATTTTTAAAGGATATTTTAAGAAATAATAGCATGATAATTTACATAAGAGTCTGGGAATTTAACTCAGTAGTTGAGAACCCGCTACACATATACACCTGCTACACATACACACAAACATAAATAAATAAATAGTAATTAAAAAATAAAAAGAATTCTATTTGCAAACTGGTAATTTAGCTCAGTGGGTGAAGTGCTTGCCTAAGTACTACGCACAAAACCCTGGGTGTGGAATTGGAGAGATGGCTCAAAGGTTAAGAGCACTGGCTGCTCTTCTAGAGGTCCTGAGTTCAATTCCCAGAAACCACATGATGGCTCACAGCCATCTAGTGGGATCTGATGCCCTCTTCTAGCATAAAGTTGTAAATGCAGATAGAGCATTCATATACATAAAATAAATTTTAAAAATTAATTCTGGGTGTAGAAGAGAACACCTGTATCCCAGCATTGCTGAGGCAGGAGGGAATCACAAATGATGGTCATTCTGGCTATACTGCAGATTTAAGGCTGTGTGGGATATGTAAGACATGGCTTCAAATTTTTTTTTCTTCGATTTTCAATATTCTCTATGCAAATGCCAGGACATTCAAAATTTTAAGTGGGTTATGTCAGAACAAGTATAGAAAAGAGATCTAAAAATGTATGTGGTAACAAAGAACTATGACATGTCAGATTTTGATTTGAAAAAGGTTTTATTATATTTATTTCATGGGGTATCAGAGGACAACTTTCAGGAGCTGATTTGGTTCTTTCCTTCCACTTGTGGATCCCAAGAATCTAACTCAGGTCATGAGACTTGATGGCAAATGCCTTAAGTCCCTGAATCACCTCCATAGATACTATTTTTAAAACTTATTTTCAATTTCCTCTTCTTTTTTCAACCATCTAAAATCAGGTGTTTTGTGATTTTTTAAATTAAATTTATTAATATCTTTTGTGTATATCATGAGAGGACACACACAGGGGTCAGGAGACATCTTGGAGTCAGTTTCTCCTTCCACCTTTCAGGGATCAAACTGAGGTTGTCAGGCCTGTGGGGCAAGGGTTTTTTTACCCCCTGAGCCATCTCATTGGCCCATAAAATTAAGATTTTCTATTAACTCAGCTAACGCATCAAGCAGGGTCCCCACTCAGTTTCTAAATGACAGCACTCACATCCTGATATCCAGTTCTCAAAATCTTCACTCGAAATTCTGTTTGAGCCTGTTGAAATAGTTGAGGACCATTTTTTCCTCAAAACTTTAACTATCCGCACTGTCTGGTTTCAATTTTATTAGGTCACCTTGAATTCTCTGAAAAGCATCCAAAGGTTTTCATCATCAGTTTGTGTGTCTCTTTAAAAGACTTTAATTTAATAAAATTAATAAGCTCATGTGGTCTGCACCTGCTATAGGGTTTGCTATTTAAAACAGACAAAAACTTCCGGTTACTCAAACTTCTGTGGACCTGCGCCGCGTTCTAAAGACCCCTGGAGAGCTGTGTGCAGCGGCCTACACAGCAGGCACAGGACCGCAAGGGTTTCTCATCAACCCCCCCAATTCTTTAGTGCTGCAAAACTTCTCATGGCGTTCTACGCACAGGACTGTCAAATAGTGTCGACTTAAAACTGTTCAATTGTTTTGTCTATTTACCAACCCAAGCATCTCCAAGAATTTAAACCCTTCAAACTGCCTTCTGACACCGAGCTACAGTATTTCCGTGTTGCTTTGAATAATTTAAAAAAAAAGGGGGGGGGGAGAAAAACTTGAGTTCTGAGGCTCATCCTTTGACCCAAATTGCTGTTGCCAGGAGATGCGGTAGTAATGCAGCGATTTGCGACTCTGAGGATGCATTTTACCTAGAACAGCCAAAGGCTACTAAATCCTTTATAGTTCCAATTATTTCTGCAGTAACAATTTCAACAGCTAAAAGACGAATTATCCTAATTCAGTCATGGTTTCCTCTCCCCCGCCCTCCCCCCCAAGGCCTGCCTTCGCAAGGACATCCTTTCCAGATCAACATTTGCAGATGAGGAAAGAAAAATCAAGGTTTAGGCACTTAGCTCACGCTTGGAAAGGCCATTATCATACTCCTCACAAATCTTGGTAGGATGCGAAGTTAAGTTTAGACCAGTCCACAGTCCTAATACCTTACTGTTTCCCAAGCCCAACTAACGGCCTGAAAACAACAGCAGTATTTATGCCCAGAGAAAGCTCAATGCTCGCCTAAACAAAAAGGCGTCTGATAAGTACGGGTAAGCTTTTCCAGGGCAAGGACGTGTTAGACGACAAAGGATTTGTTTATCACAATGAGGAAAAAGGAAAGAAAATTTCCAAGACGATCGGGGCGAGCAAAAGCCAAAGGTTTGGAAGCCCTGGCCTGGAAACCACTGGCCCCAAGCCTTCCCCAGCCCAGCCCTGTCCCGAGGGCCAGCCCGGCGCCTGCACAGGCCCCCGAGCCAAGCAAAGCGCAGCCCCAACAAAGCACCCAGCCGGGGAGCCCAAAGCCAGGGCCACCTAGGAGGAAGCCCGCGCGGAAGGGGCGAAGCGAATGGGGGCGAAGCCGGAGACGCGGCCTCCTTCATCTCAGGCTCGGAGGCCCCTGGAGAAACCAGCGGCGGAAAAGGGAGGCGGTGTGCAAGGCGGAGCAGAGCGCAGAGGGACGGAGAGCCGAGAGGACGGGAGGAAGGCGGCCCCGGGCCCGCCGCGAGCCCTGCGGGGGTCCTCGGCGACACCCGTGTTTACCTGAAAGTCTCTGTCCTCGTTGAAGCGGGAGAAGCGGTCCGCCATTTTGCCGCCTTCACTCCTCCTCAGGACGAGGCTCTCCGGTTCGCTCCTTCCCTCCCGCGACACCCGCCCCCTCCCTGCTTCCACGCCTCCTCCCACGCCCACCGGGCGCGCGCAGCTGGCGGAGGGGGGGGCCGCTGGGAGGGAGGGAGGAAGGGAGGTAGCAAGAACGCGTCCTGACGGGAATTCCGAGGGCGCAAGCGCTCTGCGGGCCCGGAGGCGGAACCTTCGCTCACCGCCTGGCTTCGCGCACGGCCCGGAGCGACCCTGGCGGGCCGCGCAAGCGCACTCGCGCCGGAGCGCCCCAAGCGCTTCCGGAGGGAAACATCAGCGGGCCAGGACGTGGGGGTTTAGGGAGTGTCTGCTGGCTCACTCACTGGTGTTTAATGGTCTTTTTTTCTTCTGCTCTTGTTTCTGGTCAAGCCCATCCGGTATTTGGCAAATAATAGTATACAGTAGCATGAGATAGGACTTTAGCGAGCCAGAGTTCTTGTGTTTTTGTCGGTTTTGGACAGGGTTTCCTGTATAGCCCAGGCTGGACTCCAGCTCGCTAGGTAGCCGAGGCTCGCCTCCCATGTCCAGAGAGAGTACTTTTTAAATTGATACATAATAGGATTACTTGAGACGTAGGAAAACAAAATCTCTCTTCTCATCGGGCTTCCATTCCAGGCAGGAAGTCAGATAACTAGAAAAATGACTTAATAATTGTAATTATTAGCGAGTGTCAAAGACTAAAACTAGGTACAGCCACGATTGAGGCTGAGAAAGATCTGGAGTTCAAACTCATCCTTGGCTGCTTAGGGAGATCGAAGCTAGCCTGGGCTAAACAAGACATTGCCTCAACAAAATCTAAGTGATGGCCGGGCGGTGGTGGCGCACACCTTTAATCTCAGCACTCGGGAAGCAGAGGCGGTTTGAAACCAGCCTGGTCTACAGAGCGAGTTCCAGGATAGGTTCCAAAGCTACACAGAGAAACCCATCTCAAAAAACAAACAAAAAATCTAAGGGAAACAGTGGGACAACCTATCTTAAAACTATGTGTAAATCAAGGCATAACAAGGAATTCACAACATTGCATGTCTACAAAGAACTTGATTTTTTTCTTATTCTTCCTTCCATATGTGTTTGGGGCTCATGAATGAGCTGTTGGATACCCTGAAACTAGAGTTACAGACAGTTATGAGCCACCGTGTGGGTGCTGGAAATGAACCCCTCTACAAGAGAAGAGCTTTTAACTACATAGCCATCTCTCCAGCTCCTATTTTCTTAATGTTCTCCTGGAGCGGGAAGCTTATTTAATTTTATTAGACTTACTCATTTTACTTTATGTGTGACTGTTTCGCCTGTATGTACGTATATATGTGTACCTTGTATGCTCTTGATGTCTAGGGAAGTCGGAAGAGGGCATCAGATTTCCTGGAACTGGAGTTACAAGTAGTTGTGAACTACCATGAGGGTGCTGGAATTTGAACCCTGGTCCTCTATAAAGGCAAGTGCTTTTAACAACTGAGTCATCTCTCCTGCCCTCACCACTTTATTTTTTTAAGATTTGTTTATTTATTATGTATACAGTGCCTTTATGTGTAGCTGCATGACAGGAGAGGGCACTGGATCTCATTATAGATGGTTGTGAGCCATCAAATGGTTGCCAGGAATTGAATTCAGGGCCTCTGGAAGAACAACCAGTGCTCTTAACAACTGAGCCATCTCTCCAGCTCCCGCCCCCTTATTTTTTAAGTCCTAGTCTCTCATTAAACCTGGAGCTCTCCCTGGTCTGGCTAGCAGGCCTCAAGGGCCTGCTCCTGGTACCAGGGAAGGTGCAGCTGTGGGCAAAGTTGAACACACAAGGACCAGGCCCAAGCCAGTCTAGAGAGCAGTTGGATCCTAAGTCATTTTCTCAGTTCAGACAGCAGCTGGAGGCTTTCTCTAGCAATGCTAACCAGATTCTGGACCTTAACATGCTAGCCGAACCAAGAAGGAGCTAATTCGCTGAGAGGAGAGGAGCTGGTGAAGAACCAGCTGTCTTAGCCACCATTCTGTTGCTGGGAAGAGACCCCATAGCCGAGGCAGCTTTTAGAAAGTGTTTAATGGGGGGGGGGCTGCCTTACAGTTTCAAAAGTTTAGGCCATTATCATTAGGGCAGGAAGCATGGCAGTATCCAGGGAGGCACTGGAGCAGTCAGTAGCTGAGAGCTACATCCTGATCCACAGCCAAAGAGAGAGAAGCTGAAACTGACACTGGACCAGGCCATGGCATGGGTTTTTGAAACCTCAAAGCCACCCTCAGTGACACATTCCCTTTGACAAGGTCACACCTCCTAATCCTTCTAATCCTTTCAAACAGTTCCACTCACTGTGGACTAAGTGTACAAATATCTGAGCCTATGGGAACCGTTTTTATTCAAATCACCACACTAATATTCTAGTCAGAGTCAGATTTCTCTTGTTCCTGCCCAAATACCCCATGGAAAATCCATCATTCTGGAAAACCCATTCAGAATGAATATTTGAAGACTAAGAAGAAATCCTGGAGGCTGGAGAGATGGTTCAGCAGTAAAGGACACTTTCTGGTCTTACAGAGGAACCCAGGTTTGGTTCCCAGCACTCCCATGGCATCTCAGCACCACATGGCATGTATTTTCCGTTCCAGGGGCTCTGATGCCCTCTTCTGGCCTCCAGAGGCACTGCAGCCCTGCAGTACACATTGTGTGACTTTCTTCCTCAGGAGAATAATCATCTATTTACCCCAGATAAAGAACTGAGTACAGACTAAAGTACAGATAGCGTCAAAGTCCAACTCAGCTCCAACTCAGCGAACACATGAGTTTTATTAGGGTTACTTACAGGAATGTAGGTGACAGGTTACTTACAGAAGGAGAAATGACTCAAAGACAGTTGCATCCTCAAAGCCCACCCAGCAAGGGTGACAACTCACTAAAGGTGGGGGCTTGGAGCACACTGCACAACTGGCCCGCAGCGCAGCTTGTCCCTTCTTCTTCCAAGTGGTTTGCCATGTCTGAATCTCTTCTAGGTAGCTGACCCAGCCTTAGCATACACCTCATTGGCAAGTCCTTATTGCTTGTATATGCTTGGGGAGGGACGGTCCTGTGAATCTCATTAGTTTCAGGAACTTTCTGAAGCTTCTCAGTTGTTTACTCCTGGATTGAGTTTCCCTGAAGGATTGAAGGTTTTATATTAGGGGAAAATGCTACCCAGCAGTATGCAGACATACATGCTTGCAAACACTCCTAACATAAAATCAAAGTGAATGGAGAGAGAGAGAGAGAGAGAGAGAGAGAGAGAGAACAGCTTGGAAATTAAAACATTTTATTCTGGCCAGGCAGTGGTAAGACATACAGAAAGAAAGATCAAAAATCCCCAAGGCAAAATGGGGATAAAGAGAAGCAGATTAAAATAATAGTAAAGATAAGACCATTCATAACTAATAAGTCTTTGTGTCATGATTTGAAAGCTAGTAACTAATAAGTCTTCATGTCATGATTTGAGAGCTAGTTGGTGCCCCCACCCCCCAAAAAAAGCCTGTTGTATTACAGCAAGTCAGAGGCCAGGTCGGGCTACCTAGTGAGTTTCAGAAAAGCCTCAGAAGCGTAGTAAGACCTTGTCTCGATCAGCAAGTAAATAAGAGCTCAGATTCTGCCACTCCTGCAGTTGTTAGTGGGCTCTCTTCAGGATGCCACTGTGGTACTGTGGACTCCTGGCAGCTGATATTCAGTCCTCTTTGGATTGACATTGATACACTGTGAGCTTTTGTTTTTTCTTAGACAAGAGTCTCATTATGTAGCCCAGACTGGCCTTGTGTTCTCTTTTAACCCCATCTGACCTCAGATTCCTCAGCTTCCCCGATGCTAGGATCACAGGCATGCATCACCAGGCCCATTTTCATTATCTTTTTTTTTTTCTCCCAAGACAGGGTTTCACTGTAGCTTTGGAGCCTGACCTGGAATTAGCTCTTGTAGACCAGGTTGTTGTGTTTTTTTTCCCTTTGAAACAGAGTCTCACTGTTTGACTCTTCTGGAGCTCACTACGTAGACCAAGACTCAGTGGTTGCTCTTCCAGAGGACGTGGGTTCAATTCCCTGCACCCACATGGCAGCTCACATCCGTCTGTAACTGCAGTTCTGGGTGATCACACAGATATAAATGCAGGGAAATGTACCAATGTATATTAAATTAAAATAAATAAAATTTTGAAAAGAAAGTAGAACCTGGGACAGGAGCGATGACTCAACAGATAAAAGCTCTGATTGCTCTTTCAAAGGATCCGGGTTTGATTCCCAGCACCCAGATGGCCACTCTCAACTTGTCTGTGACTCCAGATCCAGGGCTCCAGCACACTCACACAGACGTACATGAAGCTCAGACACAAATTCATATAAAAGAAAAAAAGAAAAGAAAGTAGAACCTGAGTAAATCAAGTGTGGTGGCAAATATCTATAATCTTGCCACTAAGGCAAGAGAATTGCTGTGAGTCTGAAGCTAGTCTGAACTACAAATTGACTTCCAGGCAGGCTAGCCTGGGCTACAGAGTGAAAAATCCATCTAAAACAAAACAAACCAAAACAAAAAGTTGAAGAGCAATACATTTGGGAAGAACTTAGAATTTTGGATTGTTTTTTAATTGAGGGGCTGGAAAGATGGTTCAGCAGTTGAGAGCACTGGCTGCTCTTACTGAGGACCCCAGTTCAATTCCCAAGCCACACAGAGCAGCTCACAACTGCCTGTAACTCCAGCTCAAGGGCATCTGACACCTCAAAAGGACATACATGCAGGCAAAACACCAAATGCACATTTTAAAAAAGTTTTTAATCAAAAGAACAAAAGGGCAACTTTCATACTATTTTGCAGAGAGAGGAGTAACAATATTTCACATATCTATGAACTTCAAACTTTGTTTTTTTTCTTATCGTGGAAAGCAGAAAAAGAGACAGTGATTTCAAGTTCCCTCCTCTGAGGCGGGGTATATCCCATTGTGCCCCTGGGGCTCTGTTCTAAAGAGTTTCTATTGCTGTGATAAACACCACCATCAAAAGCAACTTGGGGAGGAAAGAGTTCATTTCAGTTTACGCTTTCTTCATGAAAGGAAGTCAGGGTAAGAACTCAAGGCAGGAACTTGCAGCCAGGAACTGATGCGGAGGCTTTGGAGGGGTGCTGCTTACTGGCTTGCTCCCTAGGGCTTGCTTAGCTTGCTTT